CTTGAGATAGGGGATTGGGTTTTCGAGGAAGGGACCCCATCTATCGTGCCACTGCTCCAACTCTTTTTGGATTATACTTCGATTACTTCTTAGATGGAGGGGGCTTATGTGAAGGCTTAGGGTTGATTTAGAGGCCGATGCTAGGGCCATGTTTACTGAAAATAATACCAGCTCACCCGATCTTGTACATTTCATTCAAAGGACCGAAGCTTTGCTCGATCAAGCTAGGGAGGTAGTGAGAAACCCGTCGTCTTCTAAGATGGAGTTCAACGAGTTTCCTGCTTTAGTGAGACACACAGGTCTCTTGAGGGCAGCTGACCTGAAAGACGATCTGCATAAGAGGCAGCAAACATTTTCTGAGATGGGTTACTAGCTTGGCTATGGATCGTGTTCCCTTTACTATGTATTTCCAATATTTGTATCCTTTTGCTTTCTTGCTTTGTAGTAGATTGCTAGTTTCTCTGTCTTGTAATTAGCCTTTTTGGCTCATGAGTGGATGCATGTTGTTTTGGTTTTTTTTAATTGTCGATCTTTGTGAGTCTTAAGGTTCCCTGGGACCTTCCTGGATTTTCTCAGGCTCAGCAGGGTTGATCAGGGAAGCAACAACGTTGAAGCCTTCGTTGACGCCAATGAGAGCATAGCCTTGTGAATTAGTTTTTCCTGCTTTGCAACTCTAAGGACATGTTCTTTTGAGCATTCTTTGGGATTCCAAGCAGTCAATTACCAACGGGATTGCCAAATTTGTTGAGGTGTAATAGAACTGCATCAGTTTTGAAAACTTTCGGTCATTGGACCGTCTTTTGATATCAAATTCTTGGGACCCATGACCTTTTTCTAGACCAACGAAGCGATTTCTATCAGCGAAGTATTGACCGTTGTTGCGAGAGATATTTGCAAATTTCAAGACGTAATTTTGAAACTTCGGGCGTAGTTAGAATTGCATTGACGCAGGTCGTTGCGTCGGTTACAGATTGAATCGTTGCCATAACATCGGTGACCCTTTAAAGCAACCCTTTGTTTGCCCATTTCTCTTCCTCTCTTCCTCATTCTTCTCCTTGAATGAAATTCTCCCCATTTTTCCAAAAATATCTTCTTCTTCCTTATTCATTCTACCTTTATTTGCTCCTATCTCAGTGTTATAAAAAACTTGAGGTTCGTTGAAAACCCTTGGGTTTTTTCGTTTTTGGCTAGAAAATAACGTCTTTTGAGTTGGAAAAATCGACGAGGGGTATGAGATGTGAAGCAGTATTAAGGGAATCACACAAGATATGTAAAATGGAAAACTTACAAAGGACTTACACAATATTTCATTTCACCTTGGGAAAACCCCCACTTACTACAAACTATAATAAAAAAAATACAATAGTCTTCATCAACAACTAGCTTTTATAATTCGAGCATAGTTTCTTACAATTCAAATGAAATAAAATATAACAAAATAAAGACTAATGCAATACTGTGTATGAGGTTAAAGTATCCAATGAGAAGTTGATTTCTCAATAACCACCATGCGAACACTGCAACGGTATAATTACAACCCTTGACTATTACTTACTCTCGATAGCGCAAGAAGGGTTTAGTCTCAATCTAATCTCAGGAAGCAAATGAAATTTACCACTACATGATATAGTTATTGATGAGAAGGAGTCCAGGAAATTAAATCCGGCATTCTTTTGATCTTAAACAAGCTAAATTTCAACAATAATAGAGGGGAAAATATAGCTGTAAATCAAGTTGTGGATCAGAATAAGTTACCTTTCTTCATTCATAAACGACTTCTCTGCAAAAATATTCCAGTCGGGAGAAAGTTTCACCTTAAATACGAACCAATTAAAAATAAATAAAAAACCCAAAAAAATAGACTCTCTCTACCCCACACCAATCTCTCTCTCTCTCACGTTAATATCTTCCTCTCTATCCCCCACAATTTTCTCTCTCTAGCTCATCTCCTTTTCACGTGAATCTCTCCCCCATCAAATCTTTCTTTAGATCTTCACTCTCATCAAAATCTCCCATAAAAATCTATCTTTTAAATCTCTAACTCCCCATCCATATCCCACATAGATCAAGCAAATCAACATTTTTCCAAACTTTCCTATTTTTTCTCCAACATCATCTTTTGTCGGATTTTCTCTCACACATGCACATCCCATACAAGACCCAAGGTCCTACCCATCCTTATTTCCTTAAGTCATGTAAGCCATTTGATTTCCTCCATGAAAATAGGACCCCCATAGAATCCACGTGTTCAACTTCCATATATAGGTTCACTACAAAAAATAGGAAACTAACTAATAAAGAAATCTCAAAGTTTAACTTAACCTAATAAATAAAAATTAAACACCCACCCTAAATAATAAATAAATCTACTTAAATCCTTGAAAACTAATTTCTACATAAATAAATTAAATAAACATCTCAGATGCGATTTGCATAAGTTCTTATACTCATATGGATCCCAAAAACAATTTAGGATTGAGCATAAGACTATGTGAAACAAATGGGGAGAATTCATGGATAAAATGGGCTTGAAATACAATAGTTTTAGTCCTACAGTTTGGCTCAAAGGTTCAAAACATTATGCAACCAAAAAGACCAAGTTTGGTGCATGGAGCTAAGAGAGAACTTATTATTATGCTTCTTATGTTAGCATTTCCAACAACATAGATGTCTCGACAGTTTGCACAAGATAACATGAAAACTATGTCCATAAAACACAAAGTAGAAACTTTTGAGAGAGAGATGCTTATTGTAGTAATGAAATTCCAGCAGCATTTGGTTGACATAACAACAACCAAATATTGTTTGAGAAGTGCGTGACCTTGTGGTCATCATACTTCATCATGGGAGAAGAGCATAAAAGGGGTGACACTATTTGTGATCCTTGAGATGGTATAACAAAGAGGGTTATTAGAATTTTCAGCAAAATTTGCAGGACATAGCAGCAACCAAATTTGGCTTAACAGCTGCCATCACACAATAGATGGTGTGTGATGAGGCTTGGAGTACAAGGCCTTTATCATGGGTCATGGGCTAACAACTATCAAATGGGTTGGCATCCCAAGTGGGGCGGATCAACCACCCTCGATCTCCATCCGGATCGGGGATGTGGATCTTTTTCAGATTGTCCAGATTGGTGATCTAGAAAAATAAAAATAATAAAATTAGAAATTAACATAGAAGTCATAGGGTGGGGATTTGGGGGGAGGAACGGTAGGTGAACTAAGTACAATGTTAGATAAACTCAAGGAAAAAAGGAAAAGAATGAAAAGGGGGAACAAGGTTGGGACCATGACATCCTAGATCTGGTTCGATCCTGACTGATTTGCATTAAGATCGGCGATCCGGATAGGAAATTGACGGGTTTTAAAACACAACACCTAATAATCACCCATTATGATTTTAATAAATAATTACATTTTGAGTTTACCATCCGAAAATTAGATAATCTCTCGAGACATTGTCTCTTTAGGAACAAGTATAATGTTATTTTTTCTTTCCACCCCTTTTTTCCATGAGATTGTCCAGGTTAATAGAATTTCGTACTCAAAATTTAAATGAATTTGAGGTCTTAAAAATAACCATTATATTGGGATTTACTTGAGGGAGTGATGGAGGTAAGAGACAATGCACTTGCTGGAACATCGAATCTTAAGTCATCATCATCCAAGCTTTAACCGAATTCTTTTTCATTTCACTTAGGCTCTTCAAAATTTTTAAAAAATACTATGAAAAGCGATTGTCTAGTATTTGGAATGAAGAACAATGAGAGGTGTATTAGTATTTTATCTCTCAAGAGGTCTCACCTGAATGACAAAATACCTCTAGTTGTTCCGTATTACAAATAAGAAACACATACTTCAGTATTAATAAGGCGGAATGTATTTTTTATAATTTGATACAGGCAACGTATTGAAGTGCATAATGCTAAAAATACCTTTAGTTATCCTGCATCACTAAAACTGAATAATGTATTCTTTATTTATAATGTGAAAGAAACTAATGGTAGTTTTATCATTTGGGTGAAGCCTCTTAGAAGGTCAAATTATAGTAATGCCCTTGATTGTTCTATATTTATAGGATTATGTTAGGGTACACATACATACATGTGAGCATTTTGTAAATATGCTCAATATTTATGGAAATGGAATATCCATGCTTTGTAATACAAATTATTTTTTGGTAAATACATTTTTCAACATTAGGAAGGATATGATAAATATTTTTATAAGAATTTAATAGCATTTAATGCTCCATACAGATGATATCACACACATGTGGATGATATCATGCTCCACTATATTTATAAATGCTCTTCTTTTAAACATGAATTTCTACTTTGCTTTTGAATAATTATCTAAAATATCCCAAGATAAAAAAAAATACTACATTATAGAGTAAGGTTATTAAATGTTAAAAAATATCAAGTACATTTAATATATGCCCACACGCATGTGTATCCTGACGTAACCCAATTATAAATACCAAACAAGGTAATTTTAGTATTTTTTAATTTTTTTTAAGAGATTACTAAATAAAATGAAAAAGTTGACCTGTAAAGGAGTTTTCCAAAATTTTTACCACTCCTCAAAGTGAAGCCCAGTTTTAGTATCATTTAAACTTAAAACTCTACCGTAAATGCAATTTCGGTACTATAAAGTCTTGTGGTGATATAAATATTTATTGTTTCCCCCAATTATGAAATTTAATGTTTCATAAATGGTGACAATCAAACAAATCTATAATACTTAAAAATTTTGAAAATGGACGGTCTAAATAATGTGTTAGAAGATGAATTTTTTTTAGAACTAAAATCCTCATTAATTTTTATTTTTATTTTTATGTTTTCATATCTATGAGTCTCGAGATCAAGCTATCGATTTGAGGGTTTTGCAACATAGAAAAACCTTCTCCAGTGGATTTTTTGGTGCACCTCACTTGTACACTATAAGGTTTGGCACCTTGTAAAACTTTCTCCTTTTTAAGCGTTGTGTGTGACAAAACTTAAACAGTTAAATTTCGATTCGATGGACGAGCAAGACTAAACAAATCCATTTTCCAAATCTGAACCCATCTGACTTGTCGTCTTTTCAATCATTTATCGCCGGCGAAGCATTATCTCTTTCTTTGCTCTTTTGTTTTTGTCTCCTTTCTCAGGCAATGGTCAGAGGCTCGAAGCTTTAAATTAAGAACGAGAAAATGGGGGATGCTTCAAATCCGGATTCCGTCGCTATGGATTCGGTGACTGCTTCTTCACAAGAACAAGAGGAAGCTCTGCTTCTCTCAATTGATCAATCTCATGAGACCCCACTTCAAAGTCCTAGAAATCACGCAAACGATGTTCATATACTCAGCTTTGCTTTCCTGCTCATCTTTCTCGCTTATGGGGCTGCTCAAAACCTTGAAAGCACTGTGAATAATGTGAGTTTACAGAGTTTTTCCTTCTTTCTTTAGACTGTTTGCTCGGATTTATCAGGTTTTTCTAGTTGAGTTGTCTTTGTTTCTTAGAGTTTTTGCTCGGATTTATCAGGTTTTTCTAGTTGGGTGAGTTGTCTTTTTATTGTTAGTTCAAATAACTATATGGTTTTTGTTTTTTTTTTGCTCCTTTTCTCTCGTTTTCGTATTTGGGCTTCTTTTTTGTTCAGTGTGTTTTTCTTTCCCGTAATGGGTTTTTTGGCAGGAGGAAGATTTGGGTACGACTTCAATGGGGATATTGTATCTTTCGTTCACCATTTTCTCATTGGTGGCTTCTCCAGTGGTTCAGAAACTTGGTTCCAAGAATTCTCTTGTTCTTGGAACTACTGGTTATTGGCTCTTCATTGCTGCAAATTTGATACCTTCCTGGTATATGACTATAATCTGCTCCATTTGAATAAACTTTAGAGAAATTGTTCAATCTGACTTGGAAACAATTAAAAGTTTGTTTATACTTCTTGAAATTATTTCAAAAGAACAGAATAATTTTATCTCAGATGTGATTCTCTTTATGCTTGTAGGTATACTATGGTACCAGCTTCTGTTTACCTTGGATTTTCTGCATCTATAATATGGGTTGGGCAGGTAACAAGCCATCCTTATATGCCTTGTATCTATCTAATGCCATGACACAATTGAACCCGATCATGGAGATGTTGAGTTTGTTCTTCTCTTACTAATCAGGGAACATATCTCACCGCCTCTGCAAGAAGTCATGCTAGGCAATGTTCTTTGCATGAAGGCACTGTAATTGGCAAATTCAATGGAGAGTTCTGGGGCATGTTTGCAAGTACCCAGGTGCATTAGCACTACTTATTGCATTTCCCAAATAAATAAATAAAAACATTCTTTTTATTTTGTTAAATGGGAGCAGTGAGGCACTTTTGGCTAGAGGAGCATTTCAACTTTTAGTGAAATCCTTGCAGGTCATTGGCAATTTGATCTCACTTGCACTGTTGAGAAATGGAAAGGTAGGCATTTCTTGTAACAAGCATTGGCAAATGGAAATTACTTCTTTATTTGGGTTACAGTAATCTGAAGGAAATCATATGTTTTCTGTTTTACTTTGAGAGCCTCAGTTATACTTTCTCTTGGCTGTATTTTGTATTTTCACAAATACCAAAAAAGACCATGTCTGTCATGGGAACTGGGGAATCACTATATTGAATTTATTTAGGAGTGTTCACTTTCATATTTGCTAAATTCTTGAGGTGAAATTTTGAAATAATTCACTTAGAAAGGAGAGAATTTGAATCATTCTAAGGATCACTTGCCACAGAGTATGTATACAATCTGATATGTTCTGCTTGCATCATCTGCCAATCACTTAATGCATGGCTTAAAAGTTCCCAAATGCATATGAACATGATCCTAGAGCTCATGAATGATTCTTCCATCTTTACAGGGATACTGTGTGAAATTATTGTTTTAACTATTAGATGAAATTATTGTTTTAACTATTAGATGAAGTTGGAATGCAATGCCGAATATGAGAAGGAAATGGACTGTGAGTTGCACAAATGAATGAGTCGAGTTGTTGGGGGAGGTGGGGCTAGTTATAGGTGTACATCATCACACTGAGCTGGATATATGGAACATTTCAACATTAAATTATAGATTACGCTGGAATTGCACGAGATCTGTTTCTTATATTTCCTCTTTTTTTCTTTATCTTCAATACTAAAACAGATTGTATATTGCAAGGGGAAAATAGTCCACTGTGCGATTATGTACGTGACTGTATTCCATGATCCTTTTATTCGGTCTTACACAAACTTTTAATGTTTTGTGCCTTTTGGTCTTTGATGCTAACCCTCATTTTACAATTCACATAAATGAGAATCAGTTGACAGTTGTTCACAGTTGCCACATTCATGGCTCCATTGGTGACTGAAAGTGTTTTACATAATTGCAGGAAGGAACAGATTTCACGGGCAAAACTTTGTTGTTTGTTGTTTTCCTTGGAAGCATGACTTTAGGGACCATTTTGATGTGCTTCTTAGGCAAAAAAGACACCACTGGAGGGAGTTCTATAAAATATACTTCTTTTGGAGATCTTATGAAATTAATTGTTTCCCCTATGATTGACAAAAGAATGCTTTTGCTTATCCCTCTTCTTGCATATTCAGGCTTGCAACAAGCATTTGTTTGGTATGTTAATGTCTAATTTCTGTAGTTAATGTGCAAAACTCATCAAAATCTAATTGGCATTTCTTCTCTGTTTTATAAACTGCATCTGCCTCTTATATCAGGGATGAATTTACGAAAGATGTGGTGACCCCAGCACTTGGTATATCGGGTGTCGGAGGTTCAATGGCAATATATGGTGCTTGTGATGCAATAGTAAGTAAACTTTAATAAATGAAACACTCCTCCTATATGAACAGATTCCATCAACTAAGTAAATCTCTTTTACTTGCCAATTTTTGTTCAGTGATGCATTACTGATATTAAAATGTAAGAGTCTCTGGCATGGGAAATTGAGAATCATGCTAATTTGCTGTTATTTATTCTTTATCTACACTGACTTTTTAACTTGTTATTGCGACCTACAAGAAGCTACAGTATACATTTAAAAAAATGCGTAAGACCTGTTAGGACATAATCTTTGACCCAGCTTATTAGCTTTATAAAAAACCATCTCCAAAGATGTAGTCTTAAGTCACAACGAGCTTATTTTAGTATTCGACGATGCTTGTTTTTCTTGAACTGATTTGTGACTTGAATGCTCCAATAACGTTTGAACCTCACAGATTTTCTTTTTGAGTCCAGTGAAATGAGATTATTATAAAGAACCATTGTAGCTACAAATGGCATCTCAACCAACATAGATTCAAGAAACACATTTCCCTTTGGCTAATGCATCTGCCATATCATTTGCACCCATCAACATATGATGGAAGGGAGTACTCCTCAGAGAAAGAACATCAAAGATCTCATTGATTATTATCCATAAGATCTAGGAAACATGCATATCTATCCTAGCCCATATAATCACATTAAGGTGGTCCCCTTCCACGAAGAGCTGAGTGCGTTCCTTCCCGGGACAACTTAAGGCTCAGTAAAGCCAAGGAGTATGACAGGTAGTGTCTTCCTCTCCAAGTCCTTGATGGCTATCCCATACCACACAGGCCCTCAGGAGCGATTATCGAAGTTTGGCTCAAGGAATCCCCACATACCAAGCAGCCTACTGTTGGCAGGTCTGGATCATGAAATATATAGGGAAAGCTGACCTTCCAATCCCTCAAGGTAACCTCCTCCCTGAAACTCTGTTTCCACTCTAGCCCAAACAATCACCTAATCTTTGATCTGCTCCTGAAAATCCCTTCCCTTGGCCCTCCTACCTCTAAAAATGTGGTCATAACATGTGCTCAAAGAACCTTTCCCTTTTTGGAATGATCCATTATGACAAAGCACTTAGTAAGTTGGCAAAGGCATTATTGCATCAAAGCTAGGAGATCTAGATCAAAGGACCGCGCAGACCTTGAGATCCCGCAAACCTTGAGATCCCGCAATTAAAAAGTAGATGATAGTTCACTGCCTTTGCCTCTTCATTCAGTTCATTGCATGATATGCACATCTAGGGGATCACCAGTCCCCTTCATTCTAGATTATCAACGTAAGAGGCCTCCTGCACCAAGCTAGCCAACCTCAAGTCTGGCTCGGATGTGCCACATCAACCTACAGGAAGATGGTGATAAAAATGGCATTTCATAGGAAGGCATAGAGGATGATGCCATGATGGTGAGTACTTTAGGATGGTGATTATCATTCGGGTCTTCTTCTCTGAGTACTTTAGGATCTTCAGCATTGAGAAGTAGATAGATACATACATGTATCAAAAAGTTTTTGGTAAGTCCACTGACTCTTGTGTTTGCCCTGGTTTTTAGGGTTTTAGGATCCAAAACACATCCTAAATCATTGTGAAATGCATAGCCAGAGGATTTGGTTGGGCTGAAATTTTGCAGTACATCAGGAATGGTCCTGAGGACTGGGTGTTCAGGTAGAAGATTCACAACATGATGTCCCGGGTTCCTTTCCTACCTACTCTACATGCTGTTGATATTTCAAAAAAAGGGGAAAATTGGACATATTTGATTCGAAAAACTAAAGAATTTTAAACAAAAAAGTTGATTTCGAGTTCTTGAAGGCCTAAATCAAACCATTGGGCCGTGTTCTCACAGAAAATGGTGGGCTGATTTCGCCCCATTTTTGTGTAAATTTTTTTTATTTTTATTTTTATTTTTTTATTTCCTAAAATTTGGTTTCCAACAGAACCCTACTTTTCACTTACGCTAGAGTATAAACCGGTGGCTTTTATAATATTTTTCCTATTTATCTATTTGAGTAGGCACGCATGCGAAGGTGTAAATGTCCACATATACATGAGCATATGCACACATGATAGATTTTATAATGAATGATTCTTATGATACTTATTAAAAGAATTTTTGAAATTGGAAAACACGAGAAAAGCACAAACCTAAGACAAATAATGATTGTATTCCATGAAAGATTTACTTAAAAAACATGCACTGCTTGAAGTGCAGAAATGTCGCTCTTAAATTCCCCTCTAACTGAGGCTTAGAATCATCAAAGCACTGCTTTGATGACAAGATCACATCATCAGAGCACTGTCCACTCGAGCCCTGTCGTCCCTAGCACTGTTGTCCCCTGTCGTCCCTAGCACTGTGTAGCACATACTATCCTGTCCACTCGAGCCTATGGCAGCAATTTTCAAATTTCGAACCTCCTGAAAAAAGGCTACAATCATCAACCTTTGAGGGCTGTACAAAAATATGGTTCCCTAAAGGACCTCACTTGCCACTGTCTCTACACAACTCTAGACAACCCACTGTCTCAATGTAACTCTAGATATGAGCATTAGAATCACCTGTAGTCCTTGGAATAGAGGGGAATAGTGACTAACCCTGCAGCCAATGTCATGTGTTCGTGCAAAAGTTGAGTCCACTGTCTTGTCCTATCTACCCATTTTACTTACACATTTCCAAGCCTCAGAAGCCTTAGAGTGCCTTCTTTTATCTTTCTCCCTATCCAAATTGATAAACTGTATTTACTGGCAATTTTTTTATTGAAAGTACTTGACCTACTGGAAAATCATTGTCCTGTGGAGTTTTTCCGTCTCCCTAAGCTACTAGTGGCATTTGCCAATCAATGCCTTGTTGAACAATTTCAATCTTGAAATGTCGAAACCATTCCATATATCAATGTAGGTGCACTTATTCTCCATATTTGGAAGTATTGAATCTAAGAAAGGTTTTGCCTTAGGCGTATTTCATGTTTCATATACCATGTTAATAAGAACATCCTGTTTCATGAGCATAAACGTATTTTCTCTCAGAATTCATGGAATCTGTTGCATTGATATATACTTGATAAATAAAAAAAATTAATTCATGTTCTCAAATAAATTTCTTTGGCTCACATGCTTACTTTTGGAGTTGTTCAAACTTCAAATGATTAAACCTCGATTAAGAGAAAAAGGAATGCCTAGAATATGTATTATGGGGATGAGTTCCAGAATCTTGGTTGCACCATGGTCAAGAAGTTTGTTTCCTCGTACTGTGTGTTTGTGAATTGAATGTTTTTCCTTCCTTTTCAAACATGTTGTCCTTAGTTTAGAGTGTCCATCATTTTGTTCATTGCTTTTTTCATTCTTAAGACTGATCATGCATATTCATGTAAATATGTTGTAGAAGATTCTCCCTTACTTTCAGTAAGTGAAATCATAGATTTCAGCTTCATTGCATTAGTCATCATGGTAACCAGGGAGTAAAGGTTGATCTACAGCCATGATGGTTATGACAAACTTTTTGAACTTTCTCTTGCTCATTGATCCTAGAATCACCTACATTGCTCTCCTTGGTTTCTGTCTTCCACTCTTTGTTCATGTTTAATTATCTCTTTACATTTTCTGTTCCTCTTTATACACTTCCATCAGCCCTAACTCATCTCTGGCCGAACCTTAACTGTCATCTAGTCCTAATTCATTATCACTATCTTATTCACCTTCAGTCTGGCTTCTCTTTTATCATCAAAACCATCATGTTAGTGTCAATAATTCTCTTGTGAGGGTCATAAAAACTACCTTAAGCCTTATTATTGAGCTCTCCCTGCCATTATTTTGCACTGCTCCTATTGTATATTTCCTCTTTTCTCTTTCAAACCACTTGATTGCGAAGTTAATTGATGCGAATCTGTTTGATGTAAGTTAGTAAGACAATGCACTAATTACCATTGAGATTTTCCTCATGTATGTTGTTGGTGCAATGTTTACTTGACCCACTTAGTTTGCACTGTTTACTTGAGCCACTTAGTTTTAAGCCATTACTGGCCTATAGGCCAGCTTAAGCTGATGTTCAACTGTAATGAGTTTTCTAGGTGATCAGAATCAGTAAAATAAATGAACTTGTCTGTCCATAGAGTTGTATGTTGGAATATGTGAGACCTCTGACATTTATTTTGAATCCTCAACCATTTCTTAGCAATTGCCTTTTAATGTTTATTAGAAAAATAGATATAATAGATTTCTAATTTTACGGCACTTGACCTGCATTTATATATGGAAAATTTTTTATGTAAGGGCGAGGCCCTAAACAATCAAATCAATCGCACCTCAAAAAATCGTTAGAAGAGGTTGTTTCAATGCCGAAAAATCCTCAAATCGATCACCTTAAGATGTATGGACATGAGAAAAAATAGATTTCAAGTCTTGAAAATAGTACATCATGTAATGGATTTTCTAGACCATCAATTTTCAAGATTTTCTAGTGTTCATAGATCTGCTTGATCTACACGATTTTTGAAGTTTTAAATTTTATAATCAGATATGAAAATAATTTTCAGGCCATTACAAAGATTTCTGATACTGGAATAACATCTTTCGACACTATTTGAAGGTGCGCCTTACTTTGATTGTTTAGGGTCTCAGCCTTATAGAAACCACACCCTTTCTATATTGATCTTGGGTTTCTCTTTACCATCTTCCTTGTAAATTGCATTGCACATAATAACCACTACTCATGATAAATTCCTTGCCCCCTGTTAGTGCTCGTTGGTTGTGGGGCGTTTCACATTTGGATTGAACTCCATCAGCCTGATTGTTTCTGGCGGGGCTTTCCTTCAGATCCTTGTGCTTTTGTGGCTTTTACTAAGATACAGGTATACTTTCTCTGTACTTCATATTGGTTCATTGTAATTCTGTGACCGATGTTAATGCTTTTGCCAACAGCTTAACAGAAGTACTTGGAGTGGTGTATCCTCTATTAATGGCCGCCATATGGGGGGTAGGCAATGGGGTCTTCAACACCCAACTGAATGCAACACTTGGAATGCTTTTCAGAGAGAACACGGTAATTGTTTAGATTGCATCATAGATAATTTGGGAGAATATGCTGATGAAACTAAATTGCTGATTCCCCCATTAGCATTTTCCACTTATTGAAATGCATTGTATCACAGTGTGATGAAACCTCCCCTTATCTATTGACCATCTTCACTTCTGTACAACCTAAAATAACAATCCTTCAGATCATGAATCTCTTTCTTGAAAATTAGAGTTGCCTGATATTTCTGGTAATTTTGATCTTTCTTAAGTTCAATGGGAAGGGAAAGATCATATTGAGTTTATGAATATGTTTATAGTGCTTGTATAGTTGATTATATTTGCTATTGTGGGCTCTATACCTTGGTTTGGGTTTGTGCTTCTTGTGTTGGGTATGCAGTTCCTAACTGGTTGCTTTGGCTTAATTATGTTGCATAGGAAGCAGCTTTTGCACAATTAAAAGTATGGCAGAGTGGCGCCACTGCAGTGATATTCTTTTTGAGTCCATTTGTCACATTTCATGCTATTTCAGTCCTAATGATCGTTGCTCTCTGTATTTCTGTAGCAAGTTTCTTATTCCTCTCTGTAAAGGTAGAAAAAGCTTTTGCTTATGCTCTATGACAATAAGTAAAAAAACCTTGATTCTGCATCCAGACAGTCTCTCTCTCTCTCTAGTGGGTGCTTATGAGAGCATGCACGCAAACACAGATTTGGATAAGGTTTAAGGACATTTGCTTTTCATCCACAAAAACACATACATGCACACAAACTCCAATAACACTAGACCTGCGACAAATTTGAAACAATGGTGATAAAGTAATTGACGCTTGAAATTTCACTATGATTTTACCATATTTCAACACGATTGTGGATCACAAGTTTTAATATAACGAGTTTTGTTCATTAATTGATTTGTTTTTTCTGATTGGAAATCAGGTCGGTATCATGAACTTAGATAAGTGCTCTAATGAATTTGGATCACAGGGCAGAGTTAGTCCATTTACTTGAGGGGCTTAAAAGCTGTGATTAATGTATTCACAGCGCTGTTGAACTGCATGCTTTTGGTTCAATTCAAATTTTATGCACCACACTCCATAGACACTGCTTCATACAAAATTGACATCTCCATTTTCTTGTCACTAAAATGGTTGAGTAGTCTAATAGGGATTCAAACAACCTGATGAATAACCATTGGTTGTGCGATGAATTGTAAGTTAAAATCGCAACAATTTTTTATCCTTACCATTTAAGGGATCACTGTCCGCCATGAACCAAGGGAAAGTATTGAGTCTATCAGTGTCCATTTCATGCAATTAGAGGAGAACGATACATGGTTCTATCAGATGTGATGATGAGCTCAGAACTTGTCGCTGAAATCCCAAAGCTTCTTTGTCAGCCATCATCTCTTGCCAATGAACTAACAATTGCATCACCATGTCTGAAGTTCGGATCCTAGCACTTAAACAAGCCAAAAAAGAAAAATTTCATGCAGTTTACCAATGGCATAAAGCATTCATGCATAAATTGCATACCAGTGATTCTGTGTTCCAAAAGAAATTGAGAACAGTTTAACAACGCCTGCAAATGAAGTAACATGTACGAGGTATGTAGAAATATATAGATGTGGGAATGAGGATAGAGGGTGCCATATGAAGTTTGTTAAATAAAGCCTCGAGTGAAATGCATTAGCATTAACATTCGCACCTTTTTCCTTTACAGCGAACACGTGGAACAAGACTTGCAGGATCAACATTGCAGAGGTTTAATAGATTGCTTTGCGACAAAATTTTCAAAATTCCCTAATATTAGAGAAGTATAATCAGGAAACAATCATCTAGAATGACAAAACATCTAATGGAGTATCTGATTCAACCCATAAAATGCACATAGAAAGTTATGCCAAAAGTAATCATATCTTAGGATGAAGTTTTGAAATTTGGCTTTCACGTTTTGAGTAGGATTTAAAACCACAAACATAAGCTTACATCGAATACCAGAAATTTCAAAACTTAGCAAATAGCTAAGAAGCCCTTAAATTTCCACCTGAAAGGGCACTTGAAGTTCGCATCACCATTTTAATGCCCTCTGCAGCACTTTCTACCAGATAGTATAGGGCCATCCTCAAAAATGAAGGAAAACTTGGAAGTATGTTTGAGACCACCGAACATTCTTAAGCTGATATAAAGGATCAGCAAGAGGGAAGCTAGGAACCAACTTCAAATTGAATTTGTATCTTCATGTTCACCTGCTGTCACTGCATCTGATACTCGACCCAGTGACTGAGCAATTTGAAAATCCTGGCTTCCTTATCACACTATGACCCAAAATGGCAACAGTCATTTGACTTGGTTACAAACGAGCATGTCCAAGTTTGGATATGTTGACAACAAAAAGACTAGATTCCTTGTATTTTAACAACGTGTAGACGGCACAGCATCAAGATTGCGACCACACCAACAAAGTGACAAGCCTTCATCTACCGCTATGGTTGGGCCGTATCACGTTGGGGACACGATTGCGCAATGTAAAGCCATCCTCACCACCATCACCCATAGTGAATTATACCCGGTGGCGAGGTGACCATCATCCACTATCTTAACGCTCGATTGGGATGTGCTATGTTGCGCTTGGGATGCAATGGCGCAACATCAAGACTGCCACCCCACTATCATATTTGTCCCAATGAAAATAATAATAAATAAATAAAATTGAAATCGACAAACAACTTACTCGGATCTGTTCTTAAATCACACAAGGGACCTAAGGTCCTATACCAAATCCTATAGACCAAGCCATCCGGTGATAGGTTACCTTGAGAGTCTTCTTGGTAAATCTCCTTCACCTCATTTTTATCATTCTTTCTCTTTTCTAGAGGGGTTAACCTCCTTTTATAAAGAACACCTTTATTTAGTAACTCTAACATTCACGATTTATAGGAGTTGAGATCCAATTGTAACTCCTGCCTTAATTCCCTTAAGTACAATTAATTAAGATTAACAAATTGTCACCAAACTGTTAATTCTATGTAATGAGCTAAACCTGTCATTAGTCCACTAATGAATCATATATTAAGATGTCATCCAAGCGTTCCCACAATTTACAAGAAATCCATATGCACCATTGGGTTTTCCCTCCAGTGATACATCCTATTAAAGCTAAAAAATGGATCCATGTATATGGTATTGTCTCAAGTTAAGTACATGGGATTTCACATATACTTCAATAAGGCTTTTGTACCATTATTAAAAAAAAATGAATTTCTGGGAGAAAAATGACTTGATGGGCTACATTTCTAACTCCCACTTGGCCTGAAAGACCTTTAACATCTTGTACATGGCATTGCCCCATGCTTTCCATATAGGATTTCACATATACCCTGCCAATGTGGTCAAACACCACACTTGGATTTCTTGGCCTCAATGGTTTTGTATATGATATTGCATCATGCTACCTACATGGGATTTTTCATATACCTTACCAATGTGATCATACACCATACTTAAATTTCCTGGCCTCAATAACCTTGTATATGACATTGCCTCATGTTACCTGTTTGGGATTTCTCATATTCCTTACCAATATGGTCAAACACCACACTTGGATTTCTTAGCCTCAATGATTTTGTATATGGTATTGTCCCATGCTACCCGCATGAGATTTCTCATATACCTTACCAATATGGTCATACACCATACTTAGATTCATTGGCCTCAATGGTTTTGTATATGGCATTGTCTCATGCTACCTGCATAGGATTTCTCATATACTCTACCAATGTGGTCATGCACCATACTTAGATTCCTTGGCCTCAATGATTTTGTATATGACATTGCCTTATGCTACTTGTATGAGATTTCTCATATACCTTACCAATTATTTACCAATACATTGAATTTTATTCACATCTATCTTTTAGCCAAGAGAAAAAAGGTGTATTGCTTTCGCTTGTTTCTTAAACATGTCATCTACAAATGTTTTTTTTTTTTTTTAAGTCCAAAGCTCATATTCGGATCATAGGTCAAAATAATAAAAACAACAATAATTTGACAAAGATGTTGGTATTATTATATACATAAAGAAATATTTCAATGGCCTCAACCTTAACAATAATAAAATAAAAAGAAATATAATATCATTTCTTTTTAACATGTTCAATAAGTTTCAAATCGATGATGTTATCAAGCTATTCAATAATGGCTCCCACTATTCTCAATATATAGTTGTCATCATGATAACAAAAATTAGTCCAATATAGCCTAGCTTGCTAGATCAGTAATTGCTCTCACTTTCTTAATGTGCATTGATACTTATGGAGTTAACAAATTCAATTCTAATTTGGTAAAATGATGATTTACTCCCACTATCTAAGGAATAGCTATCACCAATATGATAATTCAATCTCATTGAAAAATAATAGCTCAGCATCACATACTCATGGGTACAAATTTAGTTTTCCAAATAAACGAAAGAATACTAAGAAAAACAAAAACCGAAAAAGTAAGTCACAACTTGGTTAAAATAATAAACAACATTATCAATCTTAAACAAAATATTCTTAATATTTGTAGAAAACAAAAAAAATCCTAGCACAAATATACATATATTGTTGTTGCAATATTCATAATCATTGATCACTATGAAAATTTTCAAATCAAGTATCTCTTTAAATAAAATTGATAACCAATATATGTCTCATCATAATATGTATAATCGCTAGAGGCCCATGTTGGAAATAAATAGGAATATCTTCTAAAACCTTTTTCTATAATTTATTTATTTTTAAAATAATGAAGAGTGAGAGATAGAGACTTGCATATCCTTGGGTTGACAGAGAGAGAGAGTACCTTAAATTTCAAAATAGGGCTGCGCATTGATTTGCATTTATTTCATGCTATTAAGATAAAATAGAATGTCAACAAATTTCTAATTTAAGACAAAACAGAACTTACCACAAAAGCGTTTTGTAATTGAAACCTACCAAATTCTAATTTAAGGCAATAAAGAACTTACCACAAATGCTTTATAATTGAAACCTGCCAAATTTTAATTTAAGGCAATAAAGAACTTATCATAAATACTTTATAATTGAAACCCGTCAAATTCTAATTTAAGGCAATAACAAACTTACCACAAAAGCTTTGCAATTGAAACCTGCCAAATTTTAATCTAAGGCAATAAAGAACTTACCACAAATGTTTTATAATTGAAACCTGCTAAATTCTAAGGCAATAAAGATCTTACCACAAAAGCTTTATAATTGAATTTGGGTAAATTAATCATCATAATATTCTTCAAAAAATCTAGGTCATAAATACTCTAAAGGCATGTAAAGATGATAGGCTAGAAGGACTGTTGTGCCCGACACTTGATTTATATTATCGGCATCATTCACTACTCATACATGAGTGGAATATCCAAAGGACCCTTATAGAAGAAATAATGGATTCTTTTTTTTTCTTTTTTTCTTTTTTTAATAGGTAAGAGAGAATGAATCGTCAATGTGAGTTGCATGCATTATATATATATATATATATATATTTATATAAACAACTGGATAATACTAAAGGTAAGAAAGACGTAAGTCATAAGTTCACACGTAAGTCTATTTCTAATTTTTACAATAGTAATCACATAGAAAATAAATCTATATGAATA